TATGTAGAAAAATCAGATATGTTGGGTGGAGGGGAAGGGACAGACCATCATTGCCACATTTTATAACATGTTGGGGAAAAGTTCAGAAATGATGGAGAAAAAAAAAGAAATAATGGAGAAGACAGAGTGGCACTGTATTTAAAGCAAACATTGGCAGATCTGATATGAGACATTTTACAGTGTTTCTATTGGTATATTGCAATTTTCAGGTTGCATTTCTAAAATGGGGAATCTTATAACATAAAAAAAAGAAAACTGACCAAAAAAAAAAAAGCCAAATGTTATGGTAGAAAAGACAATAGCAACATTCAGCCTTCCACAGTGAAAAGGCCACTGGGACATGAGCCAGGAACGAGCAAGACGCTGTCCACCGCAATTTCTCCAGTTTTGCCTTTGCCACGTTCTGCTTCAAAAATGACCTAATAAGGGAAAAGGAGTACAAAAAAATTACTTCAAAATATGCAAAGCAGTGATTTAGCCAAACTATTTCACAGCGATTAATATGGACTGCACTCATGCGTTATGATGGTTTAACCGAGATGCCACCCCCAAGCCTTGTGTGCTCATAGGTGGGGCTTTGGGGAGGTGGCTGAAGCATGGGCTATGATACTCATCCCTGGATTAGTTCATTGATGAGTTTAGAGCTAAATGTGACATTGGGAAGTGGGTCACTGGGGATGTGGCCTCTAAGGGTGCACCTCCCTCCTGCCTTTCTTGATCTCCTTCTGTTTATGAGTTCTCCTCTGCCATGCTGCCCTACCTTAGAGCCAGCCAACTATGGCCTGAAACTTGTGCAACTGTGAATAAAGTTCCACTCCTTTCAGCTGTGAATGTCAGGTGTCGCATCTCTCTAGTGAGAGTGTAGCTAAGACGTGCAGCATTATTGCATGGAACCTGGCTTTGATACTGACTACAGAGTAATATTTTGACTACATAGTAGTAGGATTTTCAGCCACTGGGAATCCACACTGAGAGTTCTGTTCAGAGAAAACATGATTACAGCAAACCCAAAAGGTTCTAAAAATCCCTGCAAAGCTAAGAA